ATGTATTTTTTTTGTGAAATTCGGAACGGTTTTTCTGCCAAAACGGTTCAATTTGCAAGTTAACTAGTTTCAAGGTTGTAATTTGGGGTTTGAATGATCTAAACAAAATCACATTATATAACTTTTGGTGAAACTCCAAGTTGTTTTTGTCGTCGTCAAAATTGTCTAACATTAACTCAATTTGAGAAAGTTTAGCTTGAAGCGATTAATTTTTTTGCTATATACGATTATGTTGACTCAGTACTGTGTGAGCTTGCTAAGCACAAAACTTAGGAAAAATCGATAAATCGAAACAAAAGGTGAGCATATGAACTTCAACTTAATGAAAGGTATCATAAGCTTTGCTGCTTTTTGCAAAAATAATAGATTCAGTAACTTAAATTTTAGTGAAGTAAGAGAGGATTCATAAAACTGTGTTAATAAAACAAAATGAATTCATTTTAAAAAAAATATTTAATCAGCTAAAAAGTTTGGAAAAAATAATTATTTAATTGCAGTGATGAGAAAATGAATTAACTTGCACGCAATACTTTCATGAAACGAAAATTGAAAACTTCTAAAAGTTTTCAGAGGCTGATCAAAATCGCATCAGCTTGATGAAAACGACATGAATTTTTTCGGTTACTTTTCCAGCATGAGAAAAACTACATCATCCTCATGCAACAAATTTTCATGGTGGCCCTCGAACCACTAAACATTTTTTTCTGGATCAGAGCCTTTAGATTTAGAGAACAAAACTTTGAAAATAGCGCAAAAAAATCGAAGTTAAAAACTTTAGCAACTACACTTACTCTGAACCCAAAAGCAAGTGATACGATGACACGATTCACTAGAATCATCAAAAAGTGGGGAGTTTGAAGAAAGTTCCAAAATAGTAAGAGATTTTCTCGCAACTTCACCCTCTGATTTGACTCATAGTCTCGCTCATTTGTGAAGATCGTCACGTACACAATAGCTATGATACATCCAATTGCAACAATAAGAGCAAGTTGATTCATTTTGACTCCGAAAGGACAAAAGCGACCTCCGTAATCAGTTTGATTGTACAAAATGGCAAAAAGTAAAGCAAAAAAGGCCGCTGAAGAGCGTTCCACAATACCGATTTTCAAAAATA